GGGGGGGGGGGGGGGGAGAGCTTTTATAGAGGAGATTAGCGACGCTTCGCATTCGGAGGCAACCAGCCGTTAAATGATACGTGTCAGAAATTAGAATGACGCGACTGATGAGATGTTTCGTCTTATCGCCATCTCGATCGTAACGTACGAAGGAAGGAACCGGGATTCATCTATCGTTTTTCATCGTTTCGGTGAACCTACTCTCCGAAAAAAGAGGGGACTATCTGTATACGGGTAAAATCGGGGCTAATGAGCGCCCTGATTTCCCGGTTAGTCAAACGAAGCAAGGACATAACTATATGAAATCGGAATCGAAGCTGGGTATTTCTTGTATTAAGGCCCGAGCGGGGTATGCGCCGCCGGGCTTGATAAGGCAACGCTTGCCCGACCCCAGAATGAGCTCCTAGACCTTGGAAAGTACTGCGAATGGTTACAGACGACTAACAGGGGGCCGTGATATCCGCACCCCACCGGATATTACGGTGCGAATCTTGCTCGATGTTAGTAGCGTATCAGTAATTGATGTACAAGAAGGATTTTTACCTTTTTTAGAGTTGTAGTAGAGATAAAACTCCCCTACTATATAAAGGGAAAGTTTATTATTCAATGGACACTGTGTAACACGCATATCAAGGCAATACAAACTTGTTTTCTCTGCTTCTTTGTTATTGAAAAGTTCTATTTTAACTGTAGTTCTTCATAAACGTTGGTTCTGAATCGAGGGCAGAACAATTGTTAAGCTTAGAATCCGAGCGCGAACTCAACATCACAACTGGTTTGGTCATTTATTTTATCTCTAATTCATTTATCTAACATTCTTGATCATTTGTATTGAATCAACCCACATATCTTTAAAATCGCGTATAAATTCAATTGTTATCTATTTTTAAGGGTAAACACACTTCTTTCTAAAATTGAGGTTTCCTCTGAAGTTGTTCATGGGGTTAATTGGATCCCTGCAAAATTTAAGATCGTAATGAAAAAAATCTGGTCTAGCTAGTTTGGAGGTCCTTATGTACCATTCTTTTTTTCTTTATCTTTATATTTTTAATCCAGATTCTTGGATACTTCTGAAGGTAGCATGTGTTATTTATCAAACAATTCTAATGAAAATCGACCCGCATTTTGCATATAAAACATCTTGGTCATAAAGATGAAAAAACGCATGTGGTTGCATGTTTTGGTCACTATGAGGCGTTATCGATCAGTGATTGGATAGATATTGGCCTTGTAAACCAAAATGTAAAATTAGGAAAGGATGATAGCTGATGATAGGCTATAATTACGTATTTTAGTCGATTATTACACTCTAATTTACTGCACTTTAGTTGAGTTTGCGCTTTAATCGCTAGTGTTTTGCACTAACGGTGTGTTTTATGTCTTGTAGGAGTGATTCCGAGCTATATAGATGTTATGGAATGAATTCAAGTGATTTGGAGCTTTGAAGTCTGAGTAAAAGCCCAAGGAATTAAGCCGGGATCGTGTCAGGGGTCAACTTTGATAGTTAAGAACAAACGAAGACTCGAGTAGGCATATTGTGCACTGTCTAGCAAAATACACATAACTTTTTGCTCAGAACTCCATTTGGGCTCCACAATATATGGTTGGAAAGATAACTCAAAGGGCTACAACTTTCATGTTTTACATTTTTTCAAATTCAAAAAGTAACGGGGCGATACGCGCAAGATTTGAGCCAAAACGAAGGAAACCGGGAAAAAAGGGCCAGTTGGGCGCCACAGGCAGCGCCTGGCGCCACCTGTGGCGCCAAAAACAGTATGCACAAATATTTGGGCGCTATGGAGGGCGCCTGGCGTTGGGCTGGGCGCCGGTGACGTGAAATGTGTCCTATTTCACTCGGGACAAGGTTATTTTGGCCCTAGACCTACCTAACACGTATAAAAGCAAGACTAAACCTATTTTTGAAGGAGGGGACGCCACTTTGATGATAACTAACATACTTTGAAGGGATTTTCACGTGGAGGAATACACACCACGCTTGGAGAAGGCTTCTAACTAGTTTTTCTTCTCTTCTCTTCCTTTAATTTCATAGTTTATTTGTTCTAGAGTTTTTGGGTGCTACATGAACGTTGTAGTTTGAAGCTTGAATTGTCTTATTATTTTATCATATTGGTTTATTTATTCAATCTTGCGCTTAATTATTTGATTGCTTGATCACCAATTGAATACTATCTACGAATCTAGGATTGAACTCGGGAGAGGGAATTCTATATTGCATATAAGATTGAGTAGAGCAAGATCTTAACTCTTAGGGGGAGCGGATTTGCGGTTAGGATAGGAATATACCTAATCGCCTTGCTTGGTTATTATACGGGAATTATAAATGCGTTCTTGTTAATGCTTATTCCATAGGAATATAGGCGTTAGGTTAGCTTGAATAGGCGAGTTGTACTTCGGGAGAAGGCTACGAGCAATATTAACCCTGTCAACCAGTAAACCAGATAAATTAATTAGACGATTTAGGTAGAAAACTCAACGGGATTGTTAGCTAACTCATAGCTCTAGAATATTCACTCACATTGAATTCGTCTCTATAATTCGCCAACTTGTTTTCTTTAATCTCTTAATTTGTTACTGTAGATTAATTTTAGTTAAATATTCATACATTAGGATTTACTTGAATAGATTAATTGTTTGGTTTAATTTAGTTGATAGTTAATCACAAGTCCCTGTGGGTACGATATCTGGACTTACAATCCTATATTACTTGTCGACCACGTATACTTGCGTGTGCGTTTGGGAGCAACAATAGTACAGTCACTTATTATTCTACTGTGAACAGCTTGAAATTGATGTCAAAACTTTCCTACGTACTCCTGTTAATCAAACAGGAAACAGTCATTTTCGATCTCCCCTAACTTCGTGGTCATAATTTTCTCCTTATACGTTAAACTATAGTCGTTTTCCCATTCCCGCCCACCTGTTCCAAGTAATGTCCATTTTGTCCTTTAAATTGTCAATCACCTCTTTTTGTATTATTATAATGCTCCTTCCGTTTTATTTTATATGATGAAGTTGTTTGAGTGTACTGTGTACATAAAATTATATTTAAGAATGGAGTTCTGAAATTTATGGTTTAAGCATATTGTGTTATGTGGCTACAAAATATACTTTAAGGTGAATGTAATAATTAACATACATTAAAATTCTAATAAAAATGATTAAAATATAATTGCTCGTATCAATAAGTTTGTTAATGGTAAAAGCTCAAAATTTTATCTAAAAAGATTGCAAATAAATGAAGGGGACTCAAATACATCAATACATTACTAAAAATATCATTAGATTTAATAACAAATCATAAAATTCATTTAATCATCTATTTTATACATTGAATTAATTAAGAATCATAATTTGGAATAAGATATTAAATCATTTGAATTATGTATTGCTTGTATAGAAGGGTGTATTGCTTGTATAGAAGGAAGAAAAAGTCAATTTCATAAATTGATAAACTGATTCAACCGAAAGACTCATGCATATTAGGAGGGTACTACTTCAAGAGATGAACTCGTTCGAAAATGACTATAATCTAAAATTAAAAAATATTTAAAACAACGTTGAAAGGGAATATAAGTTCACCCTTAATCTAACTGAAATAATAGAACGAACAATCTTGCTTTCTCTAGAAGGAGCATAGTCATTCAAAAATGTCGGTTATTTGGCTAATCAATTACTATATTAATTCATCGATCTTTCAGTTTCATGCTTTCTCCAAATAGAGCTTACTCATTCAAACATGTCTGATTTTGGCTAATCAATTAATATTACTTTATCATAATCAATTTCTTTTAAACAAAAAGAAACAAACAAAATAAAAATAAAATTGTCCAAGCATTCCAGATGAATGGTGTGGCCTAACATCATCCTTAGCATGCGCTGTGCAAGCTAGCTCTGTTTGGGCAAAAAAGTATGAGATCTTTTTTGTTTAAACTAATTAAATAAGAAGATGGAGGGTAAATTCTAGTTAAGGATAATAACTCTAGATCCGAGATGAATAATATGAATAGAATAACATAGCTGAGTATGAATGCTGGCAGTGATTATGGCCAGATTTACTAGCATAAAGAGAGATGCATTAAGTAACATTAAATGGCGATAAAATGTAAATAAAGGAAAAGATTCACCCAATCTTGAGTGAGACGGTCCTCTTTCATTTGATAAAAGTGAATGATAGACAAATACAAGAACCATAAGACCCTTTTTGGATCTGATGAAGTCCTGGGATCACAGATCCTCTAATCTCTTTAGAGAGGTGTGTTTACATATTTTCTAGAGAGAGGGGGAGGGAGAGGGAGAGAGAGCCCCCTTTTTGGGAAGTCATCTCTTCCTATTTATAAGGGGTATCCATAGAAAATCCTAAAAAAATACAATTAGAGGGAATATCCAATAGAATATTCCCTTTGAGGACCCACAACAGACTAGCTGTTTCATCACTGCCCGATCTCGGCCTTACTGATGACTGTCCGACCTCGGCCTTATTGATGACTGTCCGACCTCGGCCTGCCCGACCTCGGTCTTATTGATGACTATCCGACCTCGGCATTATTGATGACTGTCCGACCTCGGCCTGCCCGACCTCAGCCAGTTGTCTCCGCGTGCCGAATTTCTCTGATCTGATTTTGACCCATACAAGCTCTATGGTCAAATTTCATTTTTCTTTTATTTCCCATATGGCCCCACTTTCATTAAATTAGTCGGTTTTGGCACCAGAAAAGTCAACAAGGAAAACTTCAGTTTGTTAAGTGTTAACTTCGCCAATTAGCAACAAAATTTCAACCCTCACACCCCATGTAGCGTACGCAATTTTTGAAAAATTAAGGCCACAGACCACACTTGTGTCACAATACCTCAACTAATTCGAATTAAATAACTCTCCTAGCTAGCTTGCCAACCAAACTATTTAATCCATCCTTGTTGCACTTAATAATTCTCTAGTACTAGTTCTTCCTTTCTTCATCTTCAATCTCTCTCCTCTCTTTTCTTCTATCATTTAATTACCCCGGCCAGTTCAAGAGATCTAGGAGCTTATTTTTCTTTAATTTTTTTTTGTTAATTTTTAATTTAGCCATGTTTAGAGCAATGAGTACACGAAGGGGCTATAAAGGATATGAGGAATTGATAAAGGAGGAGGAGCCGTCTGCTCCACTAGTAGTGCCAAAGTTGATCAGAAACAGAAGTGTTCCGGTAGCTAAAATCTTTAGTCCGTCAAAGAAGATGTCGGAGCAGAATTTTCCGGCGACTCCTCAGGTGAATAAAGAAGCGAAAAAGGCGAGCAAGATTCATCCAATATTCAGTCTATTTGAAACAAAGAAGAAGAAGAAGGCAACTGCAAGGCCTGAATTTTCGAGGTACATACAGTATGTTAGAGAAGGAGGTTTTGGAGATGTATTGCAGACGACTCCTCCAACTCCAACTCCAACTCCAACACGGCTGTAAATTGATTTAAGAAATTCGGTAATGATGATCATATATATGCAGCTTGATTTTGACTTTCTGGTATGAAAGATCATAAGAGTAACATTTAATAATTCATACCATGTGGTCTTAAAGTTCTTTACAATATATGGAGCATGATGATATTCTTGTCAACTGCATCTGATCATAAAAAGTAAAATTGTTGTCATAGATTAAGATCCTTGTCTTGTTTGTTCTCTTTATCTTCCTTTTTTGGAGATTCCGGTAAACTGTTGTAAATACAAAAGCTGATGTTGAAAATGTCAGCAAGACAAGATCTTTTATCAGAGGGAATTAAAAAATAAAAAATAAAGAGTAAAAAATCGAGAAGTGAAGAAGATTCAACATTTTATGTATGCCGTATATATATAAAAATAATATTTAATTTATTTTATATCGCAATAACATTGCGATGAATCCCTTCTCCCTAATGTTGACAATCTTACCTGGAAATTAATGTTGATACCAAGCAGCAGGTTGCTGGTTTTGCCTGCCGACCTGTTAGGTTTTTTGTTTTATATTTTCTTTTTATCTTTCTCCAAGGGAAGAGTTGAAGTGAACTGGGATAAAGTGTGGATCCGTCAACTTGATTACATAAACGAAACGTGGAAAAATATTCATTTTTCCTTCTTAATTTATATATTAAGGCCTTTGGAAAGTCACATGATAATTGGAATTAATGTAATTATTAAGGTAGTAAATCTAGTTATTACAATGATATATTTATTTGTCATAATGTAATTACAGTACTAGTATAGCATCCGGGCGGATGCGCGGACACTAATCATGTTAAATATTTGTTTATTCGAATTATGTGTCAAGCGTCTTAGAATTTCAACCTTCTTGATAAATATAGATAATTATTGGATATTAATTAAGAAACACTACATGAAAAAGATTAACCATTTCTCAAATTTTCTATTTCTAATTCTATTTTCTTTTTTGGTACCATTCTCAGCGGTGTCATTGGATCCTGAAAATAATCAGGAAGCGAAATAATAACTCATATTTATGGCAAAACAATCAACGGTAGACTATGAAGAATTCTTTGGAACGACTTAACTCTTGTGTTACTACTTGAACTCTTATTGGTGTGTTGATATCTTTCAAAAAATATTTCTATTTTAAAATTTCAGTTTCTAAAACTTATTTTTCAATAATAATTATTTTTATAATAATGGAAGTAAAAATATTATCCTTAATTCAAAAACTCAGTTTAGTCGGGTATCTAAAAATTTAAATAATTCTTTAGCCAGTGAATTTATTTTTTCCAGTATGACTCCATTTTGATATTTGACACTAACCATATACATCTAAGTTATTTGAATTATATGTAAATAACCTTAAAATTTAAACCTTCGATATAATTATAGATAATCGTTTTTTTATTTCTCACCCGGTATCCCGTACACACATTGGGGTCCGACTAATCCAGATTCGCGCCGGGAAGTCCCACATTAATGTTGGGGGGTAAAGCGCTCCCTAACAAAGGCGACTCCATACCCAGGGGCTCGAACTTGAGACCTCTGGTTAAGGATGAAGGAGTACTTACCACTCCACCACAACCCTTGTTGGTAGATAATCGTTAGATATTAATTAAGAAATACTATATGAAAATAAACCAATATTTTTCAAATCTCGTAGTGATTTTTTTTTGCACCATTCTTATTGGAGTCAGTGGAACCTAAAAATAGTCACGAAGCGAAATAATAACTCGTATTTAAATTAAAAAAAAATTAAAGGATGTGTAATTTATATATAATCCATATATAATATGTGTATAATCATGGATTGTCAGTATATCAACTATAAAAGATCAACGATAAATCTGGTCGAATATTTATGTAAATATTCCATAAGATTTCGGTTACTTGATTTCATCCATGATATGACTTATATTATAATAATTTAAAAATTCTCTACTAAAATTCAAAAATACCTTATCCTTTTATTTTTAAAATTACATTATATTATAAAAAATAATCACATTTTGAAATAATTTTTTTACATTTTAAAAAAAAAATATTTGGTGTCATACCATTTTTTTAAGAATATACTTTTTGTTACACTTGAAAATCGATATTGAAACTACCAATTAGAAATCAATATCCCTCTTATTGAAATTCGAGAAACCTTTCACATAATTTGGTGATTCAAAACTAATATTCTTCAACAAAAAAGTATTATACCCCTGCAATGTTGGCTTGCCTGCAGCTAAATGAAAATGTTTCAACTTATAACCTTCAATTCCTAAAAGGTGCTAAATTAAAATTAATGATAGTAATTGTATAACCAATATTTTATAATTTTTTTATGTCCATTTATACATTTGACTCTTCAAACAAACATTCTTCAAAAAGAAAAAGAAAAAATAACTTTTTTTTAATATTAACTCATTTTTGTAATGTTTCTTTCTACAACATGTAGGTTTACTTCGTTATATATGTAAGTAAACTTTTATTTGATTTTTAAACTCTTTTTTGTTATTTGAACAAACATAGACATGTACCCTATATATTATATTTATTTTAAAGAAAATTTGCTTTATTCAAGTCTAGCTATAGTGTTTTAAAGAACTATAATTATAGGGTTTTAGATGTAAAAGAGTTTAGAATTATATGAAGTAATTGTTTTTTCCCTTTTTGCCAGAGGCAAAATAGTATTTAAATAATAATAAAAAATTAACAAAAGTTCTAAACATGATTGCATATGATCATTAACTGAATTAAGCATGATAACATGATAACAAAATATAAACTTCTTTTTATTTTTATTTTTATTCAAATTTTAAAACTTTATCTATAAAATTTACAATCAACTTTTAACTCAAATTCATATATATATATATATATATATATATATATATATATATATGTATGTATATATATTTGTATTTGACTAACACAATCAAATATAGAATAAAGTACCATATATTATTGGTATTTATTTGCTTGCCACTTGGCTTAACCACAATGCTAATTATATTTGGTAACTTTATTCCTTTAATATATATATATAGATATAGATAATTACAATTGTGTTGTTTCGTTGTACAAGTGTAATTATACAGTTAGATTAAATTTTAAATAAAGTAATTATCAAAACTTAAAAATTTAAGATAATAAATATATGCCTATAAATTTTTATAAGTATAAATGATACTATATTTGGTATTTTTAGATGTATATTTTTCGTGAATATACATTAATTAGTAATCATATATTTAAACCTAATATTGTCAAAATAATTTATATATTTTTTCCAAATTAATAATATTTAGTTTAGACACTTACAAAAACTAAAAACATACATTTTGTAAGACAATCATGGAATTCATGTTTGATAAAATAAATTAATATTTATAAATATAATGTCATAACATTATTCAAATATTTGACAAAACTAATCTATCAATTCTAACTAAATAATGAACAGTGCAATGTGAGTCAATACTACTAAAAACAAGTAAATTGGACCCATGAATATAACATAATTTTAAAATCCGAAAAAAAAAGTTTAACATATGTCAAATTCTAGTATAATAATAGTAAGTTCCACTACAATTTTAGATTAGGAAACATAATAAGTTTATAACCACATCCAACAACGAAATTCCACTTTAATTTCATCACTCATTATATGTCAAGTTTGTTAATGACTCATTATTTCTAATATTAGGATATGTAGTTTCAAAAAAATAAAATAATAAAATAAATAAAATATGAAATATAAGCAGTTACATGAAATAACAAGAAGTAAAGGTAGAGAAATAAAAGATAAATTATGTAAAAAGAAAAATATATTTTAAAATTTTAAAATAAAATAAAAAGGAAAGAAAAAAAACAACCTTGTAATTAACAGTGTAGTTACCACCAATTCTCATATCCCTTTGAGAATTGGAGAATATAATTACACCCCTCCAATTACACCTAATTTCATATTGACAAAGTAATTACTTGGCGAAAAAAATATGCCAAATTATATAACTACACTCAGTTACACTCTAATTCAATTCCTAAATGACTTTGCAAACGGACTCTAAAAAGAATCTTTTCATTTTCTCCACTTTGTGCCACCGCCCTCTTTCCTAATTCTTAAGTTCCTATACATACGAAGTTACAAATCATGCAAAGAAAGTCTATTTTTTTTTTTTTTTTTGCTGTGAACAAGCATTTTTTTATTTATTGAAGATGAGTTACAACATAGAAGGTACGGAACGTAGAGTTCCAGTACCCGTTGAGTCCAAAAGTAAGTAGGGAAGTACAAAAGGTGGGGGGTATCAAAAAGTAGAACATCAGTATGCTGCGAGAGGCACAATTTCTTCCCATAAAGTGCTAGAGCATCTGCAACAGTATTACCCTCCCGGTAGATGTGGTTGATCTGTGGCACATGTAAGTCATGCAACATCAACCTGCAAACATGAAAGAGATGTGAGTATTTCGGGTTACCTTGTGGTAGCAGTGTGATAAGTACCTCTGAGTCGGATTCCACTGTGAGTGGTAGTAGTCTTTTTGCAGTAGCAAGTTGTAAACCATAAAGGAGGGCAAGTAGTTCTGCCTGGAGTACTGTGGTGTTATACAGGGGTTTTGAGTATCCAAAAATCCAATGACCTTGGTGGTTACGGATGACCCCCCCAATGCCTCCCTTGTGAGTTAGTGGATCATAAGAGCCGTCTATATTGAGTTTGTAATTTGGTGAAGGAGGCAACATCCATTTGATGCGAGTCTCTATGTGTGGTCGAGGATTGGTAATAGAGGAGACTAGATAGGTATATTCAGCCGCTTGGATAGTGATAAGTGAGGGATTGAGTAGTCGTGTGTCATGGTTAAAGAGGTTGTGATTACGGTTCAACCAAATGTTCCATAATATGAATGGGGCGAGAGTGCGTAGAGGGAGAAGGGGGAGAGGGTGGTGGGAGGAGGTGAGGTGAACGGATGTGTTGGAGGTGCAAAGATGTTTTAGCCAACTATCATAGTTGTGGTTTGGGATGGTGAGGCGGTAGTGCTGCCAAATATGAATGGCTGGGGGGCATTCAGTGAAGATATGGTGTAGGTCTTCGGAACTGTGTGAGCAGAAGGTGCAGTGAGAAGTGGGTGTGATGTTTCGACGTGCTAAAAAGCTTCGTGTTGGTAAAGCTTGATGGAGTAGGAGCCAAAGGAAGTGTTTGATCTTATTGAGCGTAGGAATGGTCCAGATCCAGGTATGGGGAAAGGTGGTTGGAAAATGAGGTTGGGTTGAGGTGAGTAGTTTGTAAGCGGAGGATGTGGTAAAATGGCCATCAGAGGTGGGGTGCCACTGGGGGAATCTTCAGCTGTAGTGGAAGGTTAGGAATAGTGTTTTTTATGAGTAGTTGAATGTGAGGGGGAAGGTGAAAGGAGAGGGAGTTGAGGGTGA